TACAAAATCAGTGTTCAATTAAAGATCAACTATGTCATTTTTCAGATTGAAGTGATTAGAACAATAATATGAATCTTTTAAAAATAAATTACTCAGGATTATAAAAACTTGGAAATCCAAAAGAAAAAAATAGAAGACTTGTAGAAGAAGAAAACAAAGAAGCTTGAGAAGAAATTAAGAGATGAGCAGAGCAAAAAGATCGACGAAGAAGAAAGTTACTTGGGGGAGCTGTTCGTCCCGTTGCGTCGCAACTCGCAAGCGACCTTCATAGCACCCAGCGAATCGTTGCAGCAAGAACTAAGAAGGCTATTTTTGTCCTAATACAAATAATTAGTCCTATTTAGGAAATTTAAAACAATATGTCCTATTTTTTGCAATTCTACCTTCTTTTAGTCCTATTTAGGTAAATCTCTCTTTTTTAAAATGATAAACTAATACATAGGGAGTATGAATATAAGCATTGCAAACAAATACGGGAATAACATAAGTTTTTTACAAGAATTCACCAAAATTCATAAAGGATTTGGCAGAGATATGTCAAATCTGTGACAAAAAAACATTTTGGTATGAGCTATTTGGCACACAATCATCAATCAATCCATGTCAGATCCGTGACAATCCCGTAACTTTTTTCTAGTAGAGATTAAATTATGAATGTTGTTCTTACAAATATAATTGTACATAATTCACTTGTTGCTCTTTGCAATTTATCACTCCCTATTTGTTTTAGCTGTTACCAGGAGATGGATTTATTGGTCAAGGAATAACATTCAGAAACACCGCCGGAGCGTCAAACCACCAGGCGGTTGCCCTCAGGTCCGGCTCCGATCTCTCTGTGTTCTACCAGTGCAGCTTCGAAGGGTACCAGGACACTCTCTACGTTTACTCCGACAGACAGTTCTACCGAGAATGTGATATTTACGGGACAGTAGACTTCATCTTCGGCAACGCCGCCGTCGTTATCCAGAATTGCAACATCTTCGTCCGTAACCCGCCTAACGGGATTAACACCATCACCGCTCAGGGTCGAACCGACCCGAACCAGAACACCGGAATATCCATCCACAACAGCAGAGTCACGGCGGCTTCTGATCTTCAAGGGTCTCTGGGATCCGTGAAGACCTACCTTGGCCGGCCGTGGAAGCAATTCTCCCGGACCGTCTTCATGAAGACGGTCCTGGATGGCTTGGTTGATCCGGGCGGGCTGGTTGCCGTGGGCCGGGAATTTCGCTCTAAGCACTCTGTACTATGGGGAGTATGAAAACACTGGGCCGGGGATGTCCACGGCCAATAGAGTCCAATGGGCTGGCTATCACGTGATCACTTCGGTAAATGAGGCTTCACAGTTCACCGTCGGCAACTTCATCGCCGGTGGCTCATGGTTGCCCTCCACCAACGTGCCGTTCACTTCTACTCTCTGAAGAGGATTGTATTCAGGCATGAAATGGAAATGTACATCTAAAATACTTAATTTGAACTTCTCATTTATTACCAAGTGTATTGTTTGTTTGTTGTACGTATATATGTATTATTATTGTTAATTAACTATTCTTGTACATTACTAAAGAAGTTTCAACTACCTCTTCAACAAAAAAATATTTATTTTGTATTTTAGTGTGTATTTCATTTCATATCCGGGTGTAGTATATTATAAAAGTGGAGATGAAAGTATATTTTTAAGGAAGCAGGAATATGAGTCGTTAGTAATGTATCACTTTTCAAAAGAAATCAATAATGATAATTTACCATTTTAACTAAAAGGCACCGTATTTAGACATACACACTATGTATAATTGGTATGTTAGGCCATCTCCAACAAGACCATCTTCAACACCAAAATGGTGTATTTGGCAAAAAAAATGCTCCAACAATGACATCAAAACTTTACACCATTATACCAAAATGGGGGAGGGGGATGACTTTACGCCATATATGGCGTACGCCATATCTAACACCATCCAACTTTTTTAATTTCTTTTCCTTTTAAATGTGACCTTCAAGTTTTAATTATTATAGTTTTGACCCATTTTTAAAACAACAAATTAGGATGTTTTACTTGGACTGAAATTGGTTTGTCCGCTCTGGTCTGGTCTGGTCTGGTCTGATTTGATCTGATCTGATCTGAAATGATGTGGTCTGGTCTGATTTCTTTGTATTTTTATAACTATCCAAGTGTGGTCTAATCGGGTCTGATCTGATCCCGAGACAAATTACAGTCCAAGTAAAAACATCCTTATAGAACAACAAATGAAAATTATTAATTTGATAGAAAAAAATATAATAAAATTTAAATCACACAATATTATAAATAAAGTTTCAAATCCAAACAACATATAACAGAATACAAATGGTACTTAAGGAAATAGCATAATTAAAATTACAATTAATAACACCATTATAATTAAAATTAAAACATAATTAAAAACATACATGGTACATACTAATTTAGAAATTAGTAGTCATTCAACCCGCTTCCAGACCCTCCGAGACCATCAAACGGATTCCCAAATCCAGCTGATGATCCTCCGATCCTTTTTGAGATTTTTTTTTTGTAAAATTCTCGATCTTTCTGCAATGATATACGCTCGCGTTTGTGGATCGTGAATAGAATTCAAATCCATGAACATAATTTTATCTTCTCTTTTCTGTTCTTTGTATGCCATATTTTGTCGCTGGATTTGCAATTGTTCCTGTCGATCTAACGACGATTTCTTCAACATGTCTATAAGTTGCTCATTGTCGCTCTTAACCGACTTAAGCAAAACAGTGGTTTTAGCTTTTATTTGTGAAATATTGATTATTGTTTTTTAATTAGTGAAATGCGTGAAAATACATGTTAAAATGCTGTATATTAGTTTGTATGTGTTAAATAATGTGTGAAATGTCAAAATATTAAATGAGGGGCTAATGTATAAATATATGATAGTTAGATACTTAAATAGAAGAATGGTAAAAAGTTAGTAAAAAGAACAAAAAGAGAATATTCCTTTTTGGTGATGAAAATGGTGTAAACTGTTGGAGATAAAATACTGTTTGATGTGATGTTTACACCATTTTAGTGTAAAAAATGGTGTTAACTGTTGGAGATGGCCTTACTGTGTTGATCTCCCACAATGTCATTTGTGCTATCCAAAAAGTTTCAAAGAAAAATTGTTTATCTTAGACGTTGGGAAATAACTGTCTATACTTAATGAGCACGGTTTCATTTCAACAACATTTATAATAGTGTATGTATACTCCGTATTAATTTTGGCAATTCCTTTTAGGGCAAATGGTTCACTTTATGAAATGGTTCACCATTGCACCGTCTGATTGGGCCATCTGATTGGGCCATCTGATTGGGCCATTTGTAGATTATCAATCCGAGACCTGAAAGATGAAATGTATCAGTATAAGACCCGAATAATGAAAAACTGTCAATTTAGGATCTGAATGATTGAAAATTATCAATCTAGGATCTAAGTTGTCATGAATTTTAATAATTTTTTCATTTTAAAAATTTTAAAATTGTTTAGTTTTGTTGAACTAATAAACTTTTTGTGAAGAAAACTTTATCAAAAATTATCAATGGAAATAATAAAAAATGAAATAAATCAAAACCTATGAAATGCTAGGTCCTAGATTGATAGCTTTCCATCAATCAGGTCTTATACTGATACATTTCATCTTTCGGGTCCCGGATTGATAATTCATATATCTTTCGGGTCCTGAATTAATAAAAGTCCATTTAACAATTATAATTCAAGCTTGTTTTAAACTTGAAACTAAATAGTCAGAAAGGGTTCAACAAACAATTTTGTATAAAGAACGTTTGTTTTTTAATAGACTTTGCTTAGCTACTGCCACAACCTAAACAAGCTGGAGAGCAGTTCAAGCACAAGGTAAAGAGGCAGCGAATATGTAGATTGGAAAGGGGGGGTTAAAATGGAATAAGTGATAACAAAAATAAATGTAAATGCAGCCCGGAATCTATTTAGTGTCCAGTACAACAACATTTGAGGAGTCCCCTGCATTGACAACATGCCTAGATATATACAACAGCATTTGATATTGAGGGAGTAGTAGAAGCGTCACCTAGGATTCCTCAATGTATATCTCCACCGTGGACATACTCTGCATCTGAAGTATCAACCACATATTTGTGATAGCTACCTCATCATCAAGTGGCATAAGCATGTAGGATCCCCGTGAAGGGGATATTTCATTTTCAATCTCAATGAACGGCTCGGAGGAATTTCTGTAGTGACATGGATTTTTTGCAGCATCTCGAGCAAACATGCGCCACGAGAAACAATTACAAAGCTTCTTCTACCACCTTCATGGCGTATTTGGCCAGCGTCCTCAAATATGTTCCCTCCCCAATGACACACGATTGGCAAGTTTGAGAAATCCATATTCTAATAACAATACATGTCTAACTTTCATGAGTATACATTAATATACACACTATATACACCCAAATTAATCATTTCATAGACATCAGAACATATTAAGCAAATCCTATATAATATGTATACACTTAAAAATGGGAAAATATTACATTCAAATTTACGAGTTTTTTTAGCATTAACTACATTAAAAAAAATAACATCATTACAAAAAATTCAACAATGAATTGAACATCAAAATTCAACACTTCATAAATATTCACATTACACAACAAATCAATTCACAAATGAATTCCTAATTTACAAAATCGAAATTTCTACATTCTAAACCATAACATGAAAAATGAGATAAAATGGAGATATTTGTTTACCTAGAGTGTTGAAGAAGATGGAAGTGAAGTAGTATTGAGAAGATAGGGAGGCCTCGCTGTCGTTCGCCGGAGACGGAGCTTCACTGGAGTTGGAGGGGGGTTTCGTCGCTCGTCGATCGTCGCTGCAGAGGGTTTGGGGATTTGGAGGAAGACTTGTGTTCTGTCTGCAGACCGAATGAACCCGTCTGTCTATTTAAGAGGTAAGTCGCCAAACCGGATGGCGACTTATAAGTCACCCAACCGTTTGGCAACTTACCCCGACTAGGGTTAAGCCCACCAGTATATCGGTAATAACTTTTAACCCAACCCAATTTTTGTAAATTTCTTATTTAATTAACATTAATACGGAAAAAACTCTTCTTTATCTGAAATAAAATATTGTGTTTTTTTAAATTAAATTAAATATTAGATTTAGAATTGAAGCATGCTAATATTAATTCTCTCCAGATATCCCTATATATTATTAAAATAAAAACTATATACAATAATATGACTGATAATTACTTCTATGTGGTGTCATGGTAACTTAAGTTCAAAAATTGAACATAAATTATAATTATTTCATTACTACTCTAGTCACTAGTCCTATTTTTATAAACAATTTGTAAATATTTCTAATATTATACTCCCTCGACCCTAAATAAACTTCACACTTTGCTTTTTGGGTATGTCCAAAACAATGTTCTAAAAGGCGCTAGACGCTAGTCAGGCGCCAGCCCAGCGCCTAGCGCCAAGGCGGCTAGGCGGGCGCCTAGTCGGGGACTAGTCGGAAACAAAGAAATTGCATATTTATCTATATTTTTGCATAAATATATATGATAAATAATATTGTATTTGTGTGTGTATAAAATACATATATACACATACATAATGTATGTGTACTGTTGGGATATTGGGTCTAGGCCCAATATCCCCGACCCAAAGTATGAGGAGACCAGGAGGAAGCATAAGGCCCAAAGCAGTCCAGACCCGTTTGGCATTCGGCACACTTCTTATACTTGGAACATTTCAGGAAACAATTACACCCAAAGACCCATGGCGGGGTCCCGCACACCGAACGCCCTACCCGAACGGGTAGTCAGCCAGTGGAGGCCGCATTTAATGCAAAAGCATGGCAGCAGCAAGTGGGGGCATGAGTTCCTACGTGGCAGGGGGCACAGCCTACCGGATTCAGCCACGTGTCCAGCTTTCCCATCCCCATTTTAGTATAAATACCTGCATTAAGAACATTGTAAAGGGTTAGCATTTTCATTTTAAGACTCAGAGCTTAGCAAGTAGAAACACTTCTCTCATTCTTGTATTCTTGTACTTACCTACTGTTCGGGTAATTTCAGTGTAATCACAGAATTACTGAATGCAAGTGGGCTCCTGAGTTGATTAATATTTCACTGTTTTACATTTTATACACTTTCCAAACCAACCCAACATCCCTACAATATCCAAAGCTTGTGTTGGGCTTTCGGATCTTCGGGACTAAACCTCAACATGTACATTAACAAACATGAATGATAGAATTATCGCATTTAATCATACATAGTATGTGATATAACTTCATTATGTTATAAATATGAATAATAATAAAATTTAGGTATATATACAAACACATATAGTTTTTATCTTAATTTACGACTTCATTTCTTTATATTCGTGGCTAAAGTTAATGTACTTATATAGATTAAAAAATAAAAAATAAAAGTAAAGTAATGTTCGACGAAACTAGGTGGCCTAGGCGGTTGATTATGCGCTCTGGGCGGGTTGGGCTATTAGGCGCCATAGCGGGCGACTAATTCACCTAGACGGCAAACCAATTAGTCGGAGCGCCTAGACGAAAATTGGGGCGCTCGGCCACCGCCTAGCGCCTATATAGGCGGGGACTAGCCGGACGCCTAGAATGATTTTTAGAACAGAGGTCCAAAATAAACTTCACACTTCTATTTTTGGCAAGTTTTTAACATAACGTTACATGCCTACTTTCCTTTTTGGGTTGTCATCCCAAAATAAGTGTCTCATTTCCTTTTTTTGGAAAGAAATATGTGGCCCACACCATTTCACTTTATAATACCCAAACCTCAACCACAACTTTTACCTTTTCAACCATTTCATTAATAATCGTGTCAAGTCAAATTAAGATACATAAAATGGGACGGAGGTAGTACCTTACTTTTACATCTATCTACTTTCTATCTCCAATTACACATTATCACCTTTTTGTAAGGGCATGATGGGAAAGTCGAAAGTAAAAATTTCACTTTCTTAAAAACCGTAAAATCAAACTAGGAAGTTTATTTAGGACCGGATGACGTATGAAGTATATGATTTTATAACTTCATAAGAATGAAAATGATTGTTTTAAAAAACTAAGATTTTTTATATTCTTAAAACTCTATATTCGATCACGTAAAGTTTTTGAATTTGTGAAGTTTTAATATCTAACACTAATTCTATATGCAATAAAGTCATTAATTAATTATTTATCATGTGTTTTTTCGTTTTGATTTGATAAGAATTGAAAAGTTTCCATGCATGTATTTTCTTAATCCAAAATTTGATATTTATAACACCATTTTAAGAAGTAAAATAGTGTGCTTAAAATCAATTTGAAAAAGACTGAATCTATACAAGTATATAACTGCAATTTTTTAACGAGAATCTTTTGGCACAATGTCACAGGTTTCCCCATACGTGACTTCAAGTATTTCTATGACTAGATGTTTTACTTGAGAAATAAAATTATGTTAGTCTTCTTCATTTGATCGAAATAAAATATTTTGTTTTTTAAAACAAAATCAGATATTAAATTGGGAATTGAAGTATGTTGTTAATATAAAAAGGCATTTATGTTTTATTCTATTTATAAGGAGAAGAAGTGTGAAGATGAATTTGTTTGTAAGTTGTAACATACTCCGTATTAAAAGGAAAAGGGAAAATTTTAAAAAGGGACAAATACAGTAGTAAAATGAGCATGGAAGATTCGAAGGTAAAGTCTTTGTTGTAACTTCGAATATGAATCAACAACAACTTGGAATATGAATTAGACTTGTTACTTGTTTATTACTAAAACCAGTTCACACTATAATTGGTCTTTACCAGTACTATCTTGAACTCCAAATAAAGAAGTTCCAACTTTCTTTATTTGGATGTCCCTAATTTAAGTTCTCATTTCCTTAAATGGAAAGTAATCTACATCAAAACAGTGCCAAACAGTGCAAAACAGTGTCAAACAGTGCCAAACAGTGTCAAAACAGTAAAATTTACCCCCTGGTAAGTTTACTTGCATAAAAGTGTGTGAAAGTCAAATGGAGAACTTCTTTCGGGGACGGAAGGAGTATTACCAACTCGTTGATTAATAATTATAATACAAAAGTTTAAAATTTGTAGCCTCTACGCATCATCTTTTATTCTTTATCAGTAATTACAGTAAAAGTCGAAACTAGCCTCGAGAATTGTCACACGAAAGCTCATTTTTTAATACTCCCTCCGTCCCGCTAAGAAGTTCCGCTTTCCTTTTTTAGCAATCCCAAAAAGAAGTCCCCCTTTCCTTAACTGGAGAGTTATTATCTACATTAAAACAATGCAAAACAGTGTCAAACAATGTCAAAACAGTAAAATTTACCCCTGATAAGTTTATTTTCTTAATATGTGTATAAGTCAAATCGGGAACTTCTTGCGGGACGAAGGTAGTAAAATTTTTTGTCCTAATCAACGTTGTAAAATGGCAAAGAGACTGGTAGCCCATAATTGACTTAATATATAGCGGCAAGCTAAGAATAATCACTGTCAACTTTATAGTAATTATTAACTAATTGATGTATTCCACTAATTGTAAAAAGAAATTGCAAAGAAAGAGTGATTCAACCACCCCCACGGCCCCACTGCGTCTATATAAAAGGAACTATAATGCAGCCAATGAACATATAATCCAAACCATTCACAAAATGGCAAAAATCCAAATGATATTGACTTGTTTAGCATCATTCCTAGCCCTATCTTTCCTTTTCACGGTGGTTTCCTCCAATCATCATAGAGACTCGTGCAGTCGAACGCCTCACCCCGAACAATGTGAGTACTATTTGAGAGATTATGCATCAGAAAATGAAACAAATATCTTCGAAGTTAGCAAGAAAGTGGCCCTTGATCATGCCAAGAAAGCTAAAGCCTACATCGACTCTTTAGGCCCAAAATGCAACAGCGGGCGTGAAAAGGCTGCATGGGAAGATTGTGTAGAGTTATATGACGATATGGTCGAGAGGATCAATACAACGATTGATCCTCTCACCAAGTACAGCGCGTCTGATGAGCAAACGTGGCTCAGCGCGGCATTGACCAACATCGACACGTGTTTGAACGGGTTCATAGAATTCAACGTCATAGACAACATATACCCCTTGTTGTCAAGCAACACATCACAATTGATTTCCAACACATTAGCCCTTAGCAAATATAACTCTACTCATGAAGATGCCACCACAAATAAAGATGGCTTCCCCACTTGGGTTAAGCCCGGAGACCGGAAGCTATTGCAATCACCGTCACCGGGCGCTAGAGCCGATATTGTGGTGGCCATAGATGGTACAGGAAACTACAAGAAAGTGGGTGAAGCAGTAGCAGCAGCAGCAGCGACAAGGAGAACCGGAAGTAAGAGGATTGTGATACATGTGAAGGCCGGAACGTACACAGAAAATGTGGAAATCGGGAAGAAGTTGAAGTATATCACGATGTTTGGTGACGGAATTGAGAGAACAATTATTACGGGTAGGAGAAGTGTAGGAGGTGGCTTCACCACCTTCAAATCAGCTACTTTTGGTAAGCCAATTATATAATTGACCTTTTGTTTCAAAATCATAATTTTTGAATTTTTTTAACAGCAGAAGAGAATTAAACATATTAATGATCAAAGTTGTTTCTGGACAAATATGAAAAATGACACTACTATCAACTTTTTGCTGATCCCAATTTATTTGTTTTAGCTGCGGTGGGAGAAGGATTTATTTGTCGAGGAATAAGATTCATAAACACCGCCGGAGCTGCAAACCACCAGGCGGTTGCGCTGCGGTCCGGCTCCGATCACTCGGTGTTCTACCAGTGCAGCTTCGAAGGTTATCAAGACACTCTCTACGTTCACTCTAACCGGCAGTTCTACCGGGATTGCAATATCTACGGGACAGTCGACTTCATCTTCGGTAACGCCGCCGTCGTCATCCAGAACTCCAATATCTATGCCCGCAACCCGCCTGCCGGGACCAACACGATCACCGCCCAGGGCCGGAAGGACCCGAACCAGAACACCGGAATATCCATCCACAACAGCAGAGTCACGGGAGCTACGGGCTTGTCAGGATCCGCGAAGACATACCTCGGACGGCCGTGGAAGCTATACTCACGGACGGTCTTCATGAAGACTTCCCTGGGTAGCTTGATTGCCCCGGAGGGGTGGTTGCCGTGGAACGGGGAGTTTGCTCTAAACACTCTCTACTACGGCGAGTTTGCCAATACTGGGCCGGGGGCGTCGACGAGCAGCCGCGTGAAATGGCGCGGCTATCACGTGATCACTTCCGCAGCTGAGGCTTCCAAGTTTACCGTCGGCAGCTTCCTCGGCGGTACCTCGTGGTTGCCCTCCGATGTGCCGGTCACTCCTGGCCTGTGAAGAGCATTCGGGGAGAATTTTTCGTGCACGACATTTCAAATGGAACCGTATATTCTATTCGTACCTCTCAATCTATTGTTTGTTGGATGTATTTAAAATTGTCAATTAACCATTCTTGCACCATGCTAATCTTGTGTATATGCCCGTGTATATAACGAAAAGCATGGATACTAGTTACTTGCATAGTATTCCCATCGAATTGTGAACTTTATTTTTGTATTTTGAAATGTCCATATATCCATGTGTAAACGTTTGAAACTTTATCAAGAATAAATTCAACTTTTCGTCTATTAGTATCCCTCAATTTCATAATTAGTTCACATATTTGACTTTGATCACTTTTAATACAAGTATATGATTATTACTTCGTATGTTTTTGTCTAATGTATTCGGAGGTTAAATTAAACTCGCTGGAAAAGGATGATAAATAGTCAATAAACATTGATGAAATATCAAAAATGAACAAAATGAAATACTGAACTATATGTTGAATTGACATAAAACTAATATAAAACTAAAAGTATAATTAATTAAAACTATCAAACATTGATAAGTAAAACCAGAGTCCCAGGGTCGTAGCGAGGATGGAAGTTCATATGCGATTAAAATTCATTAGAATTTTATGCGAGTAAACATAATTTCTTTGCTGGGTCAAATTAAATTATTTACCCATTGGGCCCAGGGCTAATTGCTCCTCTCACCGCCCATGAGTATACCTATTAGAACTGTCTAATCAAGAAAATGACATTTACTTATGCCTATGGAGTATGAAGACTTATGGACGTCTTTAGCATTCAGCGCTTAGCGAATATCGGGTTATGTTAACTGATTGTCAATAGCGAATTCAGTCAATGAGTATGATTAGCGGAATAAATTGGTAAGATGTCATAAGATGTTAGTCATTTTCGTTATTTAACCATAAAATTAGTAGAAAACGTCATTTTTCAAAACGCTAAATTCAAATTCTCCTATTAGCAGCGTTTTCATTCAGCGTTTCCGTCCAAAAATGCTAGTGCCGAAAAACTATTTACCAAATAGGTTTTTCACTTATAGAAAATGCTAAAAGTGGTCAAATCGTCATTTTTTCGACTGAAACGCCGTTTACCAAACATCCCCTATATCGCTTAAACAACGTCTTACTTGTGGTAAACACAATCGCTTGTAACTTATATTCCTTTTGTTCCAAATTGAATTATGTAATTGACTTTTTATATCAAATTAAACGAATTTATTCTATCCACTTTATTATAATATTAAGTCTTAATTAAATTTTAATTTGAATTCTACAACTTTATAAGTTTATAGAGATATTAATGTAGTTTTAAAATTGTAATTATTAAAATTTAATTAATTATCAATAGAAGGATTTAAATCTAACACTAGAGTTTTGCCCGGGCGTTGCACCGGGTAATTTGAAATGATTGAACAATTCTGTAAAAAACCTTTTTAATTACAATTCCGCTATTTCTTAATTTTGAGATATATCTTTTCATGTGTATTCATGAGTATAATGTTACTCGAATTACATTATTTAATACTTCCTCCATCTCTTACCGTATTTATTTCGGTTTATAAGAATAATCGATGATTGGTAAATATAATATGGCGCATCTAAGAGAAAAATCAACAATTAGGAAAAATTAAATTAGACTTAATAGAAATTAATGTTCCAATCAATTTCAATTAGAATAATGTACTTTATTAGTACAAAAGTAGATCATAACATATTATTTTCTGCCTCTATCGCATTTAAAAAATGTATATTGACTGCTATAACACAATATTCTACTTCTCCGTCTCTTAAACTTTAACATCTTTCTTTTTTGGATTGTCTCAAAAACTTTAATATTTTCCCTTTTATTCAGTGGGAAAATCATACTTTTGGTCTCTCAATTAGTGACCATATTCAAATGTCAGACTCGTGTTTTTGAGATTGTAGATGTCACCCGCGAATTGAGATATGTGTTGTAAATGTCATCCCCACCGTTTATAATTCATCTCCAATTCTAGACTATCAATAAATTCACCAGTGATGACATTTGCAACACATCTGTCAATTCGGGGGTAACATTTACAATCTGATAAACATAGGTGTGACATTTCAATATGATGACTAATTGAGGGACCAAAAGTAAGATTTTTCCTTAGTTAATTGATTTGTAGTTCTTGTTATTTCTCTCTCATCTGCACTTACCTCAGCCACACACTCTTTACTTTAGTATTTTTCATGTCAATTAAACTTGACAAAGTTTTAAAGGACGAAATTGAAAGGGAGTATTAATCGGATTACTATTTTGCTCTTACTTTGTTTTCTTATACATACATAGAGTGAGGACATCTTGTAAAGTAAGTGTACATATTGTTATCTTGAAATAATATGGTATAGGGACTATGAAACATACATAAAACATACATAAAAACATGTTGGAAAATGTATTAAAAATTACATTAAATGGTTAATTTTGGGTAATATTTTGAGTGGGTCCACTTCCGGTTTGGATTATGTCAAAGTGGTTTCATATTGTCCTTGTTAAGGGCTAAAATTCGATATATGGTACGCTCAAAACGGATAACGGGTGAATGAGAAATTGATTCTCGAAGTTCGCTCATTGAAATGGAGAAACTAGGAAAATGATTGGTTTCTAGTGTGATTGATCTCACACCGGAAAACCCCAGGGGATTTTCAACCCCTTATAAAGGGAACCCTCTTTGAAGGAGTTAAGATTCCTAAGTGGAAAGCCTCTATTTGCGTGCAGGGGGTGCGAATCAAATTCCGAAAACGCAAGAGAAAAACCGCGACTTGTGTGCGCGGGCAATCGACCTGCGGACACTAATGTCGTCCGAAAATCTATCTTCCAAAGATAAATGGAATGCCCAACGTTCTGCAGCTTTGAATGGACATATCAATGCCCAACGGACAGGTCATTGATGTCCAACGGACATGTCCATTAAAAAGATGCACTTACAACTCAACAAATCCTTCCCTATAAAAGGCTGGCACGGATACGTTTTAAGGACATCGTGCGTCGCACGAGCTTTGGCTATTTGCTGCCTCATCCCTTTTCTGTTTTTTTTAGTCATTTTAATTAATTTTAATTGATTAATTTTCTTTATTTTCCGAGACACACCCACAAAACATACAGCAAAAAACAACTTTCAATCAAGCCCCGTTAACATTCAATTTACAACTTTCATATAGCTACGCACTCTAGAGATCTTTTAATAATAAAGCATACTCTTTAATAATCTTGCTATAACTTTTAGTCCTAAACCTTGTTATCTTACATTCACTTTTTACAACAAAGTTGGACATTCAAAATAGTTGTTACAATGCAATGAACTACAAATTTGCTTCCAGGCATGAATTCAACCCATGTCGTAAGAAAATATAAGTATTCATCTCATATTTTTCTATAGTCTACACCATAATACTTACTTGCATTGATTAATCACCTTGTAATTCACCATAATCAGCAGCAGCTCATCCAAAACAAAAAGTAGAACAATAAATAAAGAACTTAGAATACTTGCAAAGTAGAACTAGAAAATGAAAAGTGATAGTAACTACTAACATTTTGTATTACATAGGAGAAAATGAAAATGAGATGGTGACATGTTATTTGAAATTAGTCTCACCAATAGAAACATATATAACTCGTTCGATAGTCGATAGGAGACTTGCCAATTTTTTAGTCCAGAAAACTATCAAAATCTCTTCCATCAAGTGTTGTGGTTCTCACTGTAAATCTTAGGCATCACCACTAAATCAAAACAATAAGATAGATAGTCCGTCAAACTAAGCCATTCTCAAGCACAAAAGATTACAGAAGAAGTTATGAACATCTTAAATTAACATAGGTAAAAGAGTACTCTTGTCCCTCACTATTCCAATTGATTTATGATGAGAAGCAAATCACTATATTATAGCTTAAAGTTGTTGTGAAAAAATATGATTTCCTCACCACCATAAGCCAAACTATACATAAGCATTCCAAAATATGTTCATGACTTCATGTATCATTTCAAATTAGGTGAACCCAAAATCGTGTGTGACTAAACCCTTGAATGTTGTTGTTTGTCTATGAATTGGTACACTTGTCAAAAAGTAATTTTTGAGAAAGGTAAATAATTAAGTTTTCAACATCAAAAGCTAGCTAACAATAATCATTTCCATTTCATAATCTACCTCATTATGAACACTGGAAATGGACCTACTATGTTTCAAAAACTGCATATTGTGAATAAATAAATCAAGAATCTTTTAACATAGAGAAAGTAATAAATTCAAACGTAAAAACAAGGGAAAAGGAACAAAAATACCACTCTACTATTAAAGTGGGAACATATATACCCTTATTCTTTTATTTGGAACAAAAAAACATAAAAAATCAAATAGTTAGTCTAAATTATCCTTCCTTAACGGTTCAAAAAAAATTGCGGTCAATCCAAAATAGGCTCCCGCTTAAGTTTCTCAACTCTTGCGCCTGTTCGCCCGAATAATAGAGCACTGAAAGCTACGAACAAAGATGGCGGAAGTGAAGGTCCTAATGTGACTCGAAGCCTTCATTTCAGCGACAAATCCGGGGTAACAATTAAGTTATTTGCTTTCATCAAATACTCTCATATGGATGCTCGAATGAATACGTTTGAAATTAAGATTGATTGTTCTAAGTTAGGTTTAATATTTGCTAATACTCATATCCAACTATACTCAAATTGAGTGGTGTTTTCCTTTTTCGTTTACTCCTCCACTTTATTGATATCATTGTCCTTCTACTCAAGGTAGACGTCAATTAATAAGTGAGTTGGCCATTTTATTAAAACAGTCCAAAGTCTCTTTGCCCTGTAACTTATATTTAGATGGAAAAGTATAAATGATATTTTGCCAATGGGAGTATTTTTTTTAAATGTTGACAATACATTAGTTACACTTGTTGCATGATTGTGGTCTTCTAGCACGGTCTGGGTTTTTTTCATCAGTGGATGTTGCCTACATATGTACAGACAATATGTAAATTCAGCAATATGTATTGAGTCCTGATAACTGGTTGAATAATTTTTTGTAAGGCATAAGTTATCCATATTAGGCATACAAACTATCAGATCCTGAAATAAGTGAGCAGCAGATTGATAGAATTCAATTACCTCACCAAATGTCATCTAAAGCCTCAGGATATGCCAACGGATCATCTTTTTTTTTTTTATCATTGATGAGTCCGTATTTAGACACGCATTTGATGCGTGTTGAGATCGGCTTTTGATGGTTTTCCTAGCTTTAAGGTGTTACAAG